ATTAATCTTTCATGCTCCGGGCATCTGGCTCCCCTTGGAAAAACAGAGGAAAAAAAAGGAAGACACAATAAAAAGATGGAGGACCCTTTTGGCTCCCACTCTGACCTCCTCAGCTAAGCAGTGAGAAAATGGATTGTCCCGGACCTTTCATGTAGTCTTTCTGCATTTCTAAAACATAGCTGCCCAGGGGTGCAAGCCCCTGCATTTACATTAGAAAGAGCAGAGAGGCTCTTCCAGATGGGACAGCTCCTCTTTGTTGATTTTAACCATTAGCTCCCAAACCAAGCATATGTCTGTTCCTGCTATTCAGAAAGTTCTTCAGCACAGAGGGGATCCCACAGCCTGCCCCAAACGCGACTGGAGGAGGTCATCCCACACAGCAAAATGGACAGGAGAGCAGGCAGCAGCACGCGGCTTCCTCTCTCCTGTGATGGGTATCTCTCATTTACAAAGTTCAATTGCCCATTTCTTCGTGTTCAGTAGACAAAAAGAGCTCCGTAAATCGTGTGTGGAAAATGCCTATTTCAGTTTTCATCAGCTATTTGTATTTTTGCTTATATGTATTAAAAAGAGTGGCTGCTCTTTGCACATTTTTTTTTTACAGGCACCTGCCACAAAGACACCCATGGGCAGGAGAGATCTAGACCAGATGAATGCCGGCAGGCAGGCAGCAGGCTCCCGAGGAGGCTGAAACATGGGTGCACACTGCATGGTGCTGCTGCTGCTGCTTTTTACAGGCTGTGGAAGGAGGAGAATTTCCTGGGGGTGAGAAGAGTTTCGCAGGACAGAAATCTAGGGCTCACCGTACGCAGAGTTCGCTCACTGTGGTGTTAAATCTGGGCAAAGGGCTAAGTCGACTTGCTTCACCCTACTTAGAAGAGGCTCACTGTGGTTTTAGTCAAGTTGATTAGAAATAAGTTTTAAGATAAAAGAAGCCAGATAACCTAATGCAGGTATCAACAGGGCAGATTAACAGTAAACCAATGCAAAACATGGAGTTTACTGTAACTTTTTTTCATACTGATCTTTTAAGCACACTTGAGATACAAAGATATGATTTCATCTCCCATCTCTGCAGCAGAATGAGGAGGCGATTAAAAGCCCTACCTACATGGATCTGCTTCCCAGTTTGGGGAGATACCGCGGAGCCTCTGAGCAGTTAAGTCTGTAGTAGAGCTAACAGTTTCAGGGACGGGGAGCTCTTTGGCAAGGCAAAGAAATTCTGTATTAAGAAAACACGAGATTAGTAAGTATGTATGGACTATTTTGCAATCCACTCCCCTTCTAACCAGGTCAATGGAAAAAGATATCTCCAGAGCCAGCTTAGAGGAGATCCTAGAAATACTCCAGAGCAGAGGGGAACAGATTACACTGGAAGTGCATAGACAGAAGTCTGCCCACAAGCCTCCCTGAACATCTGATGCTGCAACCCAGATGGACTTCAGAGCAGGGAACGAGCAATGCCGCAAGGAAGAGAACTGCAGCAAATCAGGTTTAAATCTCTGCCTAGATGGGTACGTACCAAGGTAAAGAAAAGTCTCCTGGAAAGCAGCAATAGCATAGCATGCAAAGCACAAGGTCAGCCAATATCTCTCCAAGCTGGATTTCTAATCAGCTGCATCCACTAACCTTAAAACAGGCTGATCTAGCTCCTGCCTAGCACTGGTTCTTTGGTTTGGCCATTCAGACAATAACAAAAATATGGCCCTCAGCACGCCAAAGCACAGAGCCAGCCCCTCTCGCTGGGCTGGGGAGGGACCGGTGTTCCCGTTTGGTTTCTCCGCAGGGCCTTCCTTGATTACTTGCTGCCACAGAATTGCAACAGTGATAATGAATCTAATTATCCACTTCCTGCACCCTGTACCACAGGAAAAGAAGAGTTGAACTATAAGGTATCCCACCCCATTCTGCCTCCATACCTTCTGAAAATCTTTTTTGGTCACCTCAGCCTTACATCATCAGGTTTGCATGTTCCCTGCTCCCATTATACTTCTCTTTCAGGCATTAGCCCTCGTTCATCAAGATGAGTTGAGTTTCAGCAGCTGTTACTCCATCCCTGCAGCTCTCTCCAGTGTCTCTGGGAGCCTGGTAAGGCCACACCTCAGGCTGTTTACAGCAGTAGCAGGGAGAGCTTAAGGCAAGAGAGAAATCCTGCCATTGCATACAGTTGGAGGATGCTTAGAGAGATGACTCATGCTCAGCCAGGGAGGATAGCCCCAAAGATATCTAACAGCTTGTGGGTGTTTGTTTTTAGGCAGAAAGCGAAAACAGTGAAGGCAAAGAAGAAAACCAGAAATTTCTCCATCCCGAGTGGGACAGTGGCCTGGGCTTTACTGACACCAGCACTCAGCCAGGTGAGAATTCAGGGCCTGATGCAGCAGCAGAACCAGCCCGTGGCCAGGAAGGTCCCAGCACAGATCTCTGTACCAGTACACCTGCACAGAGAGGACTGCTTATGGACAACTTCCCCACCTACGATGAGTTAAGCGATTCCAGTTTCTGCAGCGTAAGCACAGAGGAGTGCAGAAGACTTCAAGAATTCCTGGAAAGCAGATGCAGCCAGTACAGACCAACTTCTAGGGAAGAAGAAATGCCTCACGGGTCAGGAGGGGTGCTGCAAGCAACGCAAACAGGACCAGTGGCTCCCTAAGTGCCTTCAGGTTGATGAAAATAGCACCCCAAGAGAGAAAGGGCCGCAGCACAGGGGTGAACTCTGCCTGCAGAGTGCAGTGAGCGGGGACAGAAATAAAGCCATCGAGAACAAACCATCAGCACAGGCCACAGACGTGTGCCCACCACCACACATCACTGCTGGCTCAAAAGAGCTTGTGATTCCTCACCACAGACGTCGTTATAGGAGCTACATGATCTTGCTGCAGGAAAAGGCTGCTGCAGAGTGTCTAAGTGACCCGGCTAGAGTGCCAGCAAAACCAAGGCGATGCAGCGAAAGCCCAGAGGGCAGAGCAGGGGATAACGGGAACAGATGGAGGCTGGCATGTGAAAGGAGCAAGTGGTCCTTGAAGAAGCAACACAAGAACTGGCTGCTAAAGGACAGGGCCTTGGGAACTGCAGAAGAACAAAGCAGACTGACCACAGATGAGGATGCCCTCAGTGAGCGAAAGACTGGGAAATACTGGAATAAGGATCAGAGAAAGCAGCACACGCTCCTAGCCGAGGAACAGAAACAGAGAAAAGCATTGCAGAGCCAGAGGGAACAGCCCAGCGAAGACAAAGCCAGCACTGAGCACAGGAGAAACTTCAGTATTGTGGAGCTGAGTCAGAAGAAGCTGATGAAGAATGGAAACAAGAAAATCTTGGACAACTGGATCACCATTCAGGAGCTTCTGACCCACAGGACCAGGTCGCCAGACGGAAGGACATACAGTCCCTTGCTGTCTGTCACAACTGTGTGGCAACCCTCCTGTCCCTCCCCAGAGGGTCGCCCCAGGCATCAGGAGAGGACAGTGCAACTTCCCGAAAGCATCTTCTATCACTGCAGACTGGTTCCCCCCAACACTTCCAAACTTCTGCTGGTTATTGTGGCATTAAAGTCTCCCCGCAGAAACAGGGAACTCAGTAAAACTACAAACTGGGAATTCAAGCCCGATGACAGGCTTGCTTCTCCACTCAAATGCAGCTAGACAACGCCAGGGTCTACAGATTGTTGTCCCGATATACTTATTACCAACTTGACTGTACACGAAGATTTGGCTCGCTACGTTTCAGACTGATTTTTTTAAATAGGATTCTCTGCAAATAAGATATTTACTTCTATATCCATCTCTTTCTATATTAAAGCTTTTTTGTTATTGTCCTGGTAAAAAGAAAAATAATAGTATGCTTCAATCTTTAATATTAGAGTCATATCATTATTTTCCCCAGAATTGGGTGTGCTATGCATTCCTGTACTTTAGTTCACAGAAAAAAAAAGGAAACAGACTTAGTAAATACAGTTGTTTACTGTAAAATAAGAGACAAAGTCTTGAAGGCACTTAATAGGTCCCTCTGTGGATTCTGCTACCAAGGGGGAAACAATACTCCTTACTGAGCTGCTGCATGTTTTATACTTATTAATCACCAGGAAAAATGAAAGATCCACAAGCCCACTGAACTCTTTCCTTCCTCCCCCTTTAAAGATTTTAGGAATGAGCTCAGGTCTGAGTCATGATTAAAATCACCCAGTTATGTTCCTAAGCAGCAGTGCTCAAACTGAAGATTTGCTTGTGCTACCCAATGCTCCCTGCTTCGCTGTTCTACACTACAAAGGAAACAGGGCAAGCTCCAAGCTATCACTTGAAGAGACTTTACTGTTTTCCAGGCTGCAGTGCGGGGAGATAAATCTCTCTAGAGGAAGCAGGCTGTGGTGGTCTACCCCTTGTCCCCACACTGCCCCACAGCTGCTGAGACCAGACCACTTGGATCTGATGGAAAGGACACCAGACAGCCAGGAAACCTGGTTTGTAAGCCCACCTCGAAAGCATCCTTACTTCTTTGCACCTCTTGCTGGAGAAACACCATCTACCAAATCATGATCTCAGTCAGCTCACATCACCACAGAGTTCTGGGCAAAGCAGAAGAAATTCGAGGAAATAAGACAGGAATCAGGATCGCAAGTTATTAGCTAAATAAAAAAACCCCGAACACCTAGAGGTAAAATAAAGGCCAGCTAGAGGAGCATGGCAAGGTAGTTATAGCAGCGAGCAGTGGGCAGTTTCTGTGGCTCAGTGTCCTCCAAGTCCTGTCTGGACCATTCCAGACCATCCTTTCGCACCACATGGAGGCAAACTGCCTTGCCCCATCTGGAGCTACTGTCTGCACTACTCCATTAAGACTCAAGCTCTGGTGCTACAGTCCTGTACTAACTTACCAGACTCCGAAGGTTAAGAAAATATTTGGTAATAGATTGTGTCAGCCAGAAAAAAAAAATATTTACAAACATCACAGAATACTGCATCAACACTAATAAGGAGACAGAGACAAGCAATTGCATTAAATCTCATTCATTTCTCTGCAGCTCTCCTTCCCAAAATCTTCTGGAAGAAGTAGAGAGCCATGCTCACCAAGACACCCGCTATCACTCCACTTCCAACGCCTACCAAGCATTCGTAAAACAATTCTCCTTGCCAAAAGTGCTGCTGCTCTTGCACTTCTTCATGGGTGCTGTTTTCTGTGTTTCCTTCCTCCTTGTTTGCCGCTAACTTCTGTTCCCAGGTCAGGGATTTTTCAAAGTTCAGATCCACTAAGTCATTTTGGATCACTCTGACCCCAAAGTAGACCCTCTTGATGACTCTGAATGTCTTCAACATCTGCACATCACATCGGTAAGTCCCTGCATCAGACTCCCTGGTAGGGGAAAATCTGATGAAAGAATCGGTGGTTTTGAAAGGTCTGAACAGTACATCATTTGTGGTGATAAGGCCTTGAGCAAGCCTCCACGTATAGCTATAGGCTCGGCTATCAAAGCCGACTGCGTCCGAGGTCAGGCAGCTGAACTGGAAGGGTTTGCCCACAGGGACGGTGAAGTGGAGTAAGCCACAAACCCAGCTGGTCAGGCAGTCCGACCGGCGCAAGGTACAATTCCTCCTCCCTCCGTCCGGAGTGATCTCGCACATCTCCTCCAGTTTGAAGCCCAGCCCACAGGTGACGCTGCAGGATGTGCTGTTGACTGCAATTTTCGCTACAGCTGACTTCAGCTCTTCTGGGATGGTAATTTCAGTTTCAGAGGAAACTACCAACACTAGATAGAAAGCACAAAGTAATATCCCAAGGATGTGGCTGTTTCCCAAGGTCTTCATATCGGGGGTTATCAATCACCCGTGCTGCTTGCTAAAGCTGTGCAAATTCAGTAGTCAAAAAAGAAAAAAAAACCGAACCCACAAATCATTCTTTGTAAACCTTCAAACTAAGTATTTCTGAAATCCCACCAGCATCATCTTCAAGACAAAATCCTTCTGTTAGGAAAAACCCTCCAACAAGACAGGCTTGAAGTACAACACTGCTAAAGAAGATGCAACACGTTACTCTGTTGGTCAGTGTGAATCATAAATTCCAGTTCGTGTAACACAGCAGCAGAATGTTTTAATCCACTATATTCCAGCGATTGGGATCTATTTGACAATTTTAAAAAAGATGAAGTCCTCCCTTCTCTGTAAGATTTTACGTACTATTTTAGATGAATTTCCACTGCAAAGAAGTACTGTTCCAGTTTCATTTTCCCACCAAACTATAAAACAATATAAGTAATTGCTACTGGAACCTTTAAAATAACGCTGTTGAGCATAAAGAAAGCCTAATTCCTTATGCAGCACCTACGCAGTTCTGGTTTATATACCAAAATCTAAAGTACTCCCCAAATTACCAAGATCACAAAAACACGATTTCAACCTCTAGATAGTCTGATGGCACTGCCATCAAAGGCAATCTGAACAGCATGTTGTCACTGACGACATCCATCTCTACACAGGGCTCGTGGTCACTCACGTCCCCGCGAGCCCGTGTTCCTGGGGAAGCGGTGCCGATGTCACAGTCCGGCTGCCCGGGTCAGAATGTGGCCCCAAACCTTCCGAGGGAGAACAAAGAACTCCCCTAAGTCTGAAGGCAAAGCGAGTCCTCTGAGACGAGGACTCGGCATAAAAGTATCATATTAGGCTCTTGACATCCACTATCAGACTCAGAAGGGATTCAACAGCACTGGCCTCGCAACATCACTCAGAGGAGCTGCGAGCCTGAGCCCTGTGCTCTGCGCCACATACAGCCACTGACTCCGACGAGCAATCTGAGCCAAAACCTCCACATTCAACTGATGCATCTGTAAAAGAGAAGCCACTCGTACACCCAGAATAATTCACTTAGTGCTCAAGCGTCCCAAAAGAATAATGCACTACTACAAAAGTTCTTCATGGAAAAAAAAAAAAAAAAAAAAATCAAAGTGACTTATTTCTGATGGCGTAACTGAACTGTGGTCAAGCCAGTTCAATAATCAGTATCTCCTTACCAGCACCTGAATTATGGATTGCAGAAAGGATTTGGATTGCCATGTTCTTCAACAGCTCTGCTAATGAATATCCATATTTCTCTTCCTAAAAATCCTTAATTTATTAAAATGAAGACTTCTGAAGATCTGGTAGATGTATTTTCCACATTCAATTTCCCTGGAGGTGCACTCTACGCCCAGCACGCTTTGTGTTCAGCTCCCCTTTCGCACGTCTGTCTTGGAGCGCCTGGGCTGCGCTCCGGGATACAGGGCTTTTATTGGACTACAGATTTACTCCTGCCTCTTGAAAAGAGATCATCAACCAAATGCCACACCGAAAAACCAACCAACCAAACAACAACGCACCAGCTGTGGTGAAGGCACAGTATGTTTGCGTTTGCAGCGGAGCTGTATTGTAGGATTCCTAAACATTGTCACAGTATAAACAATCACGGAAGTATGGAAAAGCCAAAACTTACCCATTGACTTTAGGAAATAAAACATACCTCTTTATTTACAAACACAAAAACTAACATCACTGCTAAATACTACCATCAAGCCAGTATCCGACAAATATTATACAAAACTACAGATACCAAAAAATAAAATAAAAGATGGAAGAACATAAACCAAGGACATATACACTGTACAGAGAAGTTTTAACAGAAATGAAGGCTGGAGTCTGTGGCAAATTATATGCTTTAAAATAATCTAGAGAACCATTGCCTGTGCATCTTTTAAAGCTCATGGGCTCAGCCACACCACGTATGGGTGGATTTGACATAACAGTGTTCCAGGAAAGATGCGAGTCATCCTACAAGCAGAAAGAACAAAGAAAACTAATACTGCACACATGGGAATGAATTTCATTAAATGAAGCAGGCCACTGTACCAAAGCCAGAAATGAAAATACCAGTTTTAAAAAAACCTTCCGATTTAAAATGTCTCCTCTCTTCCCACGCTTATATCTCATGCAACTATGCATACTTCCGACTGCAAATTAATCAATCTCTTTATGACTCCTCTTCTTGGTTTTTCATGTCTGCAGGACACTTTGAAAATTTAAATACGTAGTGATAATCTCAATAATTACACCTAGGGAAAAACTGAAAGTAATTGCATAGGAACTATAAAAGTCTATAAAACAAGGGGCATTAGGAATGAAAACTTTCTTTTAACAGGCGGTTGGTCTAGTAGAGAGAGGTACTACAGAGAGGCTGTAGGTGTTGGATAGAGAAAGCCTCTCTTCCCATTCCCACAAGGAAAATATCCCAACCGTCTTTAAGGATTAAAAGGTTGAAGCATGGCTGGGAATGAGCTGTTAGCATTCATCTTTCTTCCATTCTTGATCCAGAAGTGAGGAAAAAAACCCTGAAAACCTACTGTTGCAGTTGGGAGAAATATTGGTTCTGTTTCTTCTCTAACTGCGAGTACCTACCAGCTAAGGAGGGAACCAGTTGTTTCTGGTAGGGCACCTCACAGGAAAGAGACAGAATAAAAACACTTGCAAGGAGAGAAAGAAACTGCCAACACAGCTTTTCATGTCACAGGCTAGAAGAAAGCATATGAACTGAGTATTTTAACTAGAGCTACTTTCACTTCTTCCTCTTCCCATAAGCAGAGTCATCCTTCACATCTAAAATATTCACAATATGACGATTCATTCTTTGCAGACTTCAGAGGGTGCCTTGATTCTTCACATTGGATCTCTGTCCACCTGAGATGAAATCAAACCTGGCACATCAGCAGCAGCGCTTTACTAAGCATGTCAGCACAGAAGACATCACACTGAGCTAACAGAAAAGCTGATAAGGTAATGCAGCTGGCATAGAAGGACTTACAACTCACTGAAATGAAAATTAACAGCAAAGAAAGGGAAGTTTGCGGGATACACAGTCATACGGCATCGGGAATAAAAATACAGACTTTGGGTATTCTTCAATCCAGGAACAAAAAAAAAATATTTAAGAGACAATGGCTGATGAGCTGTGGAGTGGCAGAACGTTGGGTACCGGCTCACTTGAGAAATAGTTACATACGTCAACCCAAAGGCAGTCCAGTTAGTCTCTTTGCAAATCGCATGACCTGAGAGTCAGCATCTTACACTGTTCAATGAAGAGGCAGTTAAGGAGGAACGAAGGCCGTTTCCTCTTCCATATTCATTTCTTACAAAAGTCACTCCCTGAATCCGTGAACAATCAGTCTGCTGTTTTAGTCAGTCCACTCTGACTGAGCATTTCATCTGTATTCCACATTATGGTGCCAATATAGGAAAGAGTACAGGAAGATAAAGAGTGTCTTCATAACAATTCTGAGATTGCACCACCTGCTAAAGAGATCAAAGACAGGTGAAAAATAAGTAATCAGACTCAAACAGATGTTACCAGAAACCAGAGACCACCAAATACGGTAGCATTTCCAGAAAAAAAAATGAAAGAGAACAAGATTTTCTAGATAAAACCATTCTTTCCAGAATGAGATATAATCAACAAGACACCGCCTACAACAAATTAAGATCTCTAGTATTTCTGCACTTGTATTTCAGATCACGTGCACAGGCACAGACAAGGTGGCTAAGCAACTCTGAGCTTTTACTGCACAAAGTTGTGAGCAAACTTACCTGGTGTAAAATTTTTTTGATTCATCAATCCCAAAATCTCAGAGCAAAAGCACAACTGAAAACAACAACTTCCACCTAAGTTTGGGTTAAACCGGATCGCCGTAAGATTTTATTCTAAAACTATAAAATGGATCAAGCTTCTCAGTTTGTTTACACAAAACCTGATTTTGACATAGCAGCTTTAAGAATAAGACATTTACTGCCGGACCGCACAGCACAGTGACACAGACGCACTTGCAGCAGGCTCCAAGTCCCGGCCGCGCAGCTTGCGGAAAGACACTGTATTATGGCATATCAGCAAACAGTTTCCAGAGGAGAAATGCTTGTTGTGTGACTGTTTTAGCGACCGATTAGTTACTTCAGAAAGCAAGTGCACAAGGAACTAGCAGAATTAACAGCTTCATGCACGAGAGACAGAAAAGGCAGTCTGGCTCCAGGATCCCAGGCAGGTGGCCATTTGAATTTGGAAGTGTGTATTAGCACGTGGTGGAACACCAACCACCCCAAGAAAAAACTGGCTACCCAAAACAGGAATTTTAAGCGGAAGCCATAAAGAGAACAGAGACAGACAGACATGAACTTCATGGACTGAAAGACTACTGTGAGTTTGGAAAGATCCAAGCGACAGTTTCTTTCAGCGGGCAGTCTGTTCTTATAACATGACTCATATAGACACTTCCAACACTGACTACTGAGATCTACTGCACGGATCTATCAGGTCCTCTTAAGTCAACAGTACTGTAGAAGGGAGCATAACAACAGGTCCTAATGAGAGACAGAAGTCCATTATAGCAATATTAATTATTTGCCTATAGCTCAGTCAAGCTAAAGAACACCAACATGGAAAAATACCTTAAAGTGCTTACAGGCAACAAAGACTAAAAGTAAATTTTAGAAAGCTCTACCACCTCCAACAGATGGGTAAAGTAAGTAGGGAACTTGGATCTGAACCCATTTGTTCATAAGAAAAGCAAATTTCCCTTTTACAGTGTCCAAAAACCAAAGCTAACTGTACTGGCACGGGTATGCACATCCCAAGCTCAGCAGCAGTAGCCAGTAAAATTCCACTGCTGTCTTTTATAGCAAGTCAGACTATAACAACTGCATGGGAGCATTACAAGCAAAACCACACAAAAATCCTCCCAAATATGGCTTTGCAAGGATGTGTAAAAAACAAGGAGTCTGCCTAGAATGTTGCTTCATTTGAAATGCGTTAGAGGAAATGGGAGTATTATTTTTCCAG